TTCAAAGTAGATCACCCTCCCACTGAACTAGTCTGGGAAGAGAGACATAAAGTCCCGGGTAAGGCAGAGCATAACTTCGGCCTGCTCAAACAAACTGATTTAAGAAACTAACCAACCCACAGGAAAATCAAATACCACAAGCAAACCAGAGACTCTACCAAGAGACTAGTTATGGACATAGGGGAGACACAAGATTTCCACCCCCCCCCACAAATTCGAAGAACTCTTTTTCCTACCTAATTAAAAAATGTCTAATCTTTTCATTTTTATTTTAGGTTTTGTTTTTTGTTCCTTTTTGTTTCTTTAAAAATATTCTCTTTATACTCTTTTCCCTTTTGGTCCTTTTCTTGCCTTACTTAATTGCTGTTCTGTTTATCCCCAGATATATAGCTGTCTTCGATTATTAGACTTTATCCTTCATTGGGTGCATACTTAATTCAGATATTGATTTCTCAATTCACAAACTCCCATTACTCCCTTAACTAATTTAATTGTAGATTTCTTTATGCTTACATAATTTTTAAGTGTTTCATTTTTTATTTTTCCTTTTTCTGTATCTCTCTGCTCCTTTCCTTCTATCCCTTCCCTCTCTCTGAAGTTAAGTCTTGGTTATATTCCTTCTCGCACTTTCCCTCCCTACATTCCTCCAATCTTACTTTCTCCTCACAATTCTCTGTAAACTTACTAATTTCTGGTCTGCTGACCCCTTCTTTGATTTTTTTTAGTCCATTGATCTCTAGTTGGTTGTTGTTGAACTAGATTACATCTGTTGAGTTAAATTGTATCTGTATTTATTTTGACTACATCAAATAACCTGTGCAACTACAGGTATCCGGTTGATGCTTCCCTTAAAATAGTGTTCTAGTTTGGAATTTGTTTGGCTATCCTACCCAAATGGGCAGAACAATCTGGAGAAACACAAGAAAAATGGCAAGCCCATGTATCTCAACTCCCATTCATGATAATCAGACAACAGAGCAATTAATGAAAAATCCAGAGGAGAGTTCCAAAAAGGCTCTACAAACACTATTGGTATACATGCTGAATGAAAAGACTGAAAGCCTGCAGAGGTCTCAGTGAGATTGGTTGGGAAATGTGTGAGCGTGATAGGGAAATGCATGACCATGATGCGGCTAACCAAAGATTAACAGAGGAATTGCGTGAGCAGAATGAGAATAAACAAAGATTAATGGAGTCATTCATGGAATCCACAAACAGACAGCTGAAGGAATCCAGGGAGGCCACAAAGGGAATGCTGAATGGAGTCCAACAGAAGGAAAGGGAGATCAATGAAAGGATAACTAATTAACTAAGGGATTTGAGAATGAACATTGAAAACCAAATTGAGAAAGTAAAGTTCATACAAGAGCTAAAACAAAACTCCAACAAAGAATTTGAAGCCATCAAAGCCAAGTAATTAGAATGAAAGGAAATAAAAAACAAAGTAGAAAGTCTTGGCAGTAGGTTAGACCATGCAGAATATTGAATCTCTGGAACTGAAGACAGCCTAGATATTATAGAAAAAGAACAGACAACTATTCGATACAAATCCAAGAAATAGGATAGACCTACTCAACATTTAGAAGACACCATCAGAAGGCCTAATTTGAGGATAAGGGGTGTAAAGGAGGTCCTCGAGACAGAAGTTAATGGTCTAGGAAATTTATGTAACAGGATCCTAGCAGAGAACTTTCCAACAGAATACAGATACAAAAAACCTGTAGAACACCAAATAGAACGGACCAGAATAGGACATCCCATTATCAAATTGTAATCTGCACAGGATCAATTCAGACCAAGGAAAGAATCCTTAAAGAATGGATCAAGAAAATGTGGTATATATACACAATGGAATTCTATGCCTCCATCAGAAAGAATGACATTGCCCCATTTGTTAGGAAATGGAAAGACTAGGAAAAAATTATATTAAGTGAAGAAAGCCAGGCCCAAAGAAACATAGGTCCCATGGTTTCCCTTATTTGCAATAACTAGTATATGTCTGAGACAAGCAAAAAAGGTCAGTAAGTTGATGTTAAGTGAAATGAACTCCCAAATAAGTATTCAAATGTTTTTTCTTTCATGCGATTGTTTCTAACACATTTGTAAGATTATTTCTTTTTTGCTTTATATGTCCCTTTCCCATGGTATAACCCCTGCTTTCACTGTATTTGATGTTGGTAAAATTTGTGGAGGGGAAGGGAAAAACAAATCGTTTAAATAGGGATACAGGTGGACCCATTGCAACAATGAGACATACAAGTCGTTATGTCGAAAATGAACTTTACAATTTGGTAGGGGGGGAGGATGGATGGGAAAGGGAAACAAAGGAGGAGGCTACAATGCTTGATAAGAAATGTACTCATTATCTTGCTCGTGTACTTGTAACCCTTCTGTACAGTATTTTCACACACACACAAAAAAAAGCTAAAGCGATTTCTTCTAAATTCAGGAGAGAAAAGGGTGTCCACTCTCTCCACTTCTCTTCATTTTAGTATTAGAATATCTAGCTAGAGAAATAAGACAAGATGCAAACAGAAAGGGGATCCAAATAGGGAAAGATGAAGTAAAACTCTCCCCTTTGCAGATGACAAGATCTTGTATTTAAAGAACCCCATGTACTCCACTCCCAAGTTCCTTTAGCTGATCGGAAACTTTGGCAAAGTAGCAGGATACAAAATTAACCCTCAAAAGTCAATGGTTTTTCTGTATGCCAATAACGAGACAGATGCCAGTGAAATCAGGAAAACAACTCCTTTTGTAATAGCCTCACACAAAAAAATAAAATACCTAGGAGTTAACTAAAGAAGTGAAGGACCTCTACTATGAAACCTTTAAAAACCTGAAAAGGGAAATTAAAGCAGAACTAAGTAAGTGGAAAAACCTCTCATGCTTCTGGATTGGGAGGATTAACATCGTGAAAATGGGAATACTGCTAAAGGCTATCTACTAATTCAATGTGATACCTATCCATATCCCAACCTCATTCTTCAAGGAAACAGAAGAAGCAATCCAAAAATTCGTATGGAACTATAAAAGACCCCAAATAGCAAAAACAATCCTTAGCAGAAAGAACAGTGCTGGAGGAATATCAATACCAAACTTCAAACAAAGCCATAGTAATAAAAATAGCTTGGTACTGGCACAAGAACAGACCTGAGGACCAACGGAATAGAACTGAAGACCCAGAAATGAACCCACAGACCCAAAGCCACCAAATCTTTGATAAAGGACTTTAAAAAATAAAATGGAAGAAAGACAGCCTCTTCAGTAAATGGTGCTAAACACCTGTAGAAAACTAAAGCTATATCCTTATATATCACCCTGCCAGAATCAGCTCCAAATGGACAAAGACCTTGAAGTCAAAGCAGACACCTGGAAACATTACAGGATGGAATAGGAGAAACTCTAGGACTCCTTGGCACAGGCTGAATTTTTTTTTTAATAAAGACCCAGAAACACAACAAATCAAAGAAAGGTTGGACAATGTGGGATTGCATGAAGTTGCAGAGCTTGTGCATGGCAAAGGACATAGCTAGCAATATCAATAGAAAGTCCACAGATTGGGAGAAGATCTTCATTATCTATACAATGGACAAGGGTCTCATATCTAAAATATACTTGGAACTCAAAAAATTAAATCCCCAACAACAAATCCTCAAAGAAACAACTGCCTAATCAATAATTGGGCTAAAGACTTAAAGAGAGACTTCTCCAAAGAGGAAGTAAGAATAGCCAATAGACACATGAAGAAATGCTCAACTTCTCTGGCCATAATAGAAATACAAATCAAAACAACATTGAGATTCCATCTCACCCCAGTTAGAATTGCTATAATCAAGAACTCTAATAACAACAGATGCTGTAGGGGATGTGGCCAAAAGAGAACCCTACTGCATTGTTGGTGGGAGTGTAAACTTGTTCAACTACTTTGGAAAGAAGTATGGGGGTTCCTCAAAAGGCTCCACATAGAGCTCCCCTATGACCCAGCAATTCCACTTTTGGGCATTTACCCAACTGACCTCAAACAAGGCCATACTAAAACTACCAGCACAACTATGTTTATCACAGCATTATTTTTAATAATAGCTAAGATACGGAACCAACCCAGATGCCCCTCAGTAGATGAATGGATCAAGAAAATGTGATTATATATATCTATATCTATATATATATGCATGCAATGGAATTCTATGCCTCCAACAGAAAGAATGACATTGCCCCATTTGTTAGGAAATGGAAAGACTTGGAAAAAATTATATTAAGTGAAGTAAGCCAGACTCAAAGAAACATAGGTTCCATGGTTTCCCTTATTTGCAATAACCAGTATGTGTCTAGGACAAGCAGAAGAGTTCAAAAGCTATGTACATATGACCATATAACCGGATGCTAAGCGAAATGAACCCAAAGATGGGAACACAAGGTGTTTTATCTTTGTTGCTGTTCTTTTTGATGTACTTATAATGTACTATGTGATTCTTTTTTGTTTCTTTGTATGTTCTTCCCCCATGGTATAACCCCTGTTGTCACGGTATTTGATTCTGGTGTCCTGCATCTTGTATATACATTTTTTCTAATTTGGGGAGAGGAAGGGAAATAACAAAATGCTGAAATAATGTTGCATGGTGACCCATTGTAACAATGAGATGTATAGACACTATGTTGAAAATAAACTTTACAACCTTGGGGGGATGAGGAGGTGGGGAGGAAAGGGATGGTATTGAAAAAACAAAAGCGGGGTAACAATGCTTGATAGAAAATGGACTTATTACCTTGCTCATGTAACTGTAACCCCTCTGTACAGTATCTTTATAATATATATATATAAATATATATATATAAAAAGACAACACTGATTACATTTTAAATGATTTTAGTATGCATGTACCAGTTGCTTCACTTTCATTTTATTACACTGCCCTTTACAGGAAGTCTAAAGTACATTTTAGAAACCTCTATGATCAAAAAGAATGGAGGATTCATTAGATATATTTCATAAAAACTCAGTGCAAACCTAGTGACACTTGCATTTCTCCAAACCATTTCCACATAATTTTAAAAAATTGAAGCCCAGAAATGCTACTATTGACTTCAAGACAAATAGTAGAATTTTTAGTGGGACTAGGTGACTCTGGAGGAGGAATAAACAAAGATACCCGGGCAATATTGGATATTTCTGATTTCAGATTGGCCTTATCAACAGCTTGAATAGCAATAAAGAGATCAGTGTTATTTGCAAAAGCAGTGTTTTCTGGTTGGAACACAAAGACTTCCTCAGAGTTGGCCTCCTTTGGGATGAGATCAGTAGTGTTCACTTGAACAGAGTCATTGAACTTGTCTCTCAGATCAAGAATACTTGCACTTATTCGAATGATATACTTGTAAGCTGAAAGGAAAAATGGAAAGAGGATGGAAATAGTTAACCTTCCAAGTTGAAGCTTTAAAAGTCTATTAGAAATATTACCATCCCATAAGGTTTCAGTGAATAAATGGATTCAGCATTTCATATTGCAAAGGTTAGTATCTGTTTTATGTTCTTGTTTATATATCCTGACAAAGCAATGACTATAAAATTGGATTGGTTGTGACTTAAAGTGTTGGTTAGCATTTCTGGCCATTGGACTTGGCTGACAGAGGAGGTTGTTTAATTGTTGCTTATTATTTTATTATTTAAAGAGAGTTATTTTATGCCAATGCTTTGTAAACATTAATTTGAATAGACATCACCTAGGAGTTCTCAAAATATAGATTCTGGCTCATTAGTTCTGGGGCAGTACTGGGATTCTCCATTTCTGAGAAGTGTTCATGTGATGTGTATGCTGCCAAATTCACAGACCACAGGTGAGATCTGAAGTCTGTCAGGAGTTCTCATGTATTTTCTCTGTTTCTGGAGGAATCGCAAATGAAAATGGATTTCCACTGAGACTTACTATTTGACAAAAGAAAAAAAAACCTGGAAGTTTTTCCCTGGTGCCTAAAACCTCTTACTCCTCGAGTAGGTTAGTTTTCATGCTTTCAACTCATTTCTAAAAATCTTGACTTTTCACTGAAGAGGACATTCAAGACCTACGCGAGAGCTGCTTCCTTCTGCCTCTCAACACCCCCTTCTGTTTCACTACCTTCTCCATCTGTGCGTGGCTGGGAACTCCTCCATTCTCCACTTACCTCGCCCATGATCATAGTCATCCCCAGGAGCTGTCCAAGTCAGATTAATGAGATTGTCCCCTTGGATTTTCGCCTTCAGGTCAGTGATTTGGCAAGGTGGAAAGAGGTCAGGGATGGGAGCCTTTGGCACACTGGAGGCCACAAATGAACCTCCTGAAGATGTTCTGCTGAAGCACACTTGCTTCACTTGAAGTTCGTTATTGGTTTCAGGAGGTGGGGGATTCCATTTGATTTCACCTGTATTAAAAAATACTCAAAATGTCATAAACAACACCACAAAATAGCTATACAACTTTCTGTACTTTTATTGAGTCAGCCTCTTCCTATTCTTTTCTTCTTTCCTCCCACCAACAAAATTCACTTGAATCCTTGGTAATAAAACCCCACATCAGGCTGTATCAGAGTTGTCTGTTTTCTGGGCATCATTTTCCATTTGTCACATGTGGGAGCGTTGTCTAACATTCTCCTGTCTTCACAGGAGGAAGTAGAAAGAAATGGAGACTGTAGGTTTATGATGAATGATAACTGAAATACATAATAAGCCCTGAATTATTATATCTTTTTCTTTTACAGAAGTGTCAGTATCAGGAGATGGAGTTTCATTACAAAATCTTTGAAAGTTCATTTAAAATGATAAATCACTTATTTAACCATTGCTATTTACCAGAAGCAGCACATTGGATATACATACGGCTTTGTTTCTCCTCACAAATCCTATGCTAAAATGGAAGAAAAGGAAGGATATAGATAATATATATTATTTCATAGCAGAGTAGGATTTCAACAATGGCAATCAAAAGCTATGTTCTGTCTAGTGATTTTTCAACTGGGGGCTATTTTCCCCCTTTACAGGACAATGGGGCATGTCTGGGGATATTTTTGGCTGTCATGACTGGGCAGGGAGAGCTGCTACTGACATCCAGTGAGTGAATGCCAGCGATGTTATAATACATAAATCTGTGGCCAACACCAGAGGAATACCTGCCCCAAAATGTCAATTGAGCTGATGTTGAATGAGCTGGAGTCAATCCTGCATTTTCCCATCTCACAGGCTTAATGTTTTCCACTTGATCCCAAATCCTTTTACTGAATCACGCCTGCTACCTGGATTACTTACCATTCTCAATCCAGCCAGGGATGTACATGACTCCACTCTGCTGAGGCGTTGCTCTCTGTGTGGCTGCATTTGTTCCTCCTAGAGCCCTTATTTTCACACTGTATCTACCATTTGCATCATAAGCTGTAAAATACCTTGAGTAGACACCATCATCTTTGGTAGCATCAGCACCTTGACAGTGAGATGAGAGACTTAATCAATGTCCTAAAGGTAACTGGGCATTTGTAGGCTTTCAATCCATCTGTGAATTAGTTTTCTTAAAGCAAAGAGAAATTAAGAATTGTAGTTTGAAGCCAACCAGGGCAGAACAGTGTATAAGACTCCATCTCCAACTGATCAGCAAAATAATAGAGTGCAGGCATAGCTCAGGTGGGAGAGAGCCACCTGTAAGCTTGCCTGTGCACATATGCACACACACACACACACACACACACACACACACACACGCCAACTGAGAGCAATAAAGCCGTAAATTCAAGTTCTAGTACCTGCACTAAAATATGATACATAGATTTATAATGTACCTTTGTGTATATTTTGTGTATATATATCTTTATATACATTACCTACCTATGTGTATACCAATTTATCTAGGGAATACTTAATATAAAATATTAGTTTGGAAGTCTGAAAACTCCACATTGAGTGTAAGTCACCCATTAGGGCTTTGTAAAAGCTAAAGGTAGGCCCTTCTTCATGTTTTCCAGCATTTTAGAATACTGGATTAAGGAGAAGCAGATAATTCATTAAATCAAACTCTCCTGCGTTCTGTGATTGCTTCTTGTTAAAAAATGTTTTTCTGATGCTCTTGATGGTTACCTGCTCCATTGTCCAATAATTCCAAAGTAACTGTTTTTCCGTTCACGGATTCAATCAAGGCTGTGACTCTGGCCCTGATGACAGGAGAGGCCCCATGGCGAATATTTGCATAAACTACCATAGGACTGGGGAATTTGCCCGTGTCCTTGTTCATTTTGGAGGTCACTGTAATTGGAGGCAGGGTAGCACTTGATGCACGGGAGGTGACAGTCAGAGTCAGCGTTTGTGAACTTGCTTGCAGACTGTATTTCCAAACTCCAACCTGACCAAAACAGATGAAGATATTTCTCATGAGTAACTGCGGGTAACAGAGACCTGACTTCAGTGTTGTAAGCTTCATCCAAAGGAGACTGCCACGTGGTTCAGGCAGAAAAGAGTTTACTAGGGGGAGAGCATACCACTGGCCTGCACCAGATGGAGGGTGCAGAGGGGTGCAAGGGATGAAGGGGAAGGGACAAGGGGCAAGGGAAAAAGGCAGAACTAATGATGGAGATGGATTATATAGGGAGAAGGTGGGGGGGAGGTGTGGCCACAGCGATGACCTCAGAGCCTGGGAGATCTCCCACTTCCTCAGGTGTGTTAGTTACCTCTATTGCTAGGGCTGCGGGAGTGGGGGGGGGGCGAGGAGGGACTTCTAGAGAAGTGGCCATGTGTACACCAAGGTAAAACAAAAGGAAGAGGTCATTTTCCCCAGGCAGGCCTAACAAATGTCACTTATAGGAAAGCCTATCTGCTACAAGTACGTGTAAGCACAGCTAAGAAGATGGGCATCTCTGATACTCTATCAGCCAAGGCAACTTTCAGTGAGTTTATACTGACTACATGGTTGCTGATGTCAAGAAAATCCTAATCAGGGAAGATGAGGTCTGACAGCTCTGTCTTCATTTGTCTTTTTCTTTGTTCCTTTCTTTACTTTTCTTTTCTTTTTCTTTTTAAATTTTGTCATGGGGCTTGAACTCAGGGCCTGGGTGCTGTCCCTGAACTATTTTGCTGTAGGCTAGCATTCTACCACTTTGAGCCACAGCTCCACTTCCAGTTTTTGAGTGGTTAATTGGAGATAAGAATCTCATGGGTATTTTTCTGCCTGGGCTGGCTTTGAAGCATGATCCTTAGTTCTCAGCTTCCTGAGTAGCTATGATTAGTGAGCCACTGATGCTCAGCCATTCTCTAGATTTTTAAGAGATGTGTTTTGGAGGTAAAGGAATAGTTCTCTTTTATTACCTACATAAAATATTACGAATTTCCTTTCCTCTTGACTTGCTGCCAAATAGAATGGTTTTTCAGTGGATGAAAAATGTTCATTTCTGTCTTTGTTTTTGGTGTATGTGTGCCTGTAACTGAGGCTTCAACTCATGGCCTGGGCGCTATCTCTGAGCATGTTTTGCACAAAGCTAGTGATTTTCCACTTGAGTCACAGTTCTACTTCTGCCTTTCTTTTGGTGGTTTATTTGAAGATAAAGAGTCTTATGGACTTGCCTTCCTGGGCTATCTTTGAACCACAATTCTCTGATCTCAGCCTCCTGATTTGCTAGGATTACAGGCGTGAGACACCAATGTCTTGTTTATTTTTCTCTTAAGGCAGTGCTAACTCTTCTCATAGCAAACACTACCATTTAAAAAGCTATCATTGTCCTGTAATTTTTTCAAATTGTAAGCAAGAAATAAGAATCCCCATACCATGGCAGTGCCTGGGATTTCAAGGTAGGCCATTTTGGTGTTTCTGTCTACTACCAAGCCATCTTGTTTCTTTCCACTGGGATCCCAGAGAAAGATTTGGGGAGGTTGGGTTGTCCAGGTGATAAGAAACAAAGTGTCCTTTCCCACGGTGCTGTCCACGATCACTGTGCCATTCATCCACTGAGAGCTCTGGAGGGCGAATCCCTTACTTTCCAGCTGTTAAGAAAAACACCTCTTTACTTTCTTTTCCATTCCACCCCGACTCCCACATGCCCATCAGGAAGCCATCAGCAATTCTCTAGTTGTTGGTTTGTCCTTTAGGTCTACTCTGGTCTACTTCTGAGTTACATTTTGAGCCCTTGTTTCCACAGTATTTCATCCTTCAACAAAACAAGACAACTTCTCAAAGGATTCATAAGAAAACTTGGCTTTATTACGCTCTGTTTTTCCTAGACATCTTCACATTCCTCTGAACTTGTCTGAGGCTTCCTAACCCTTCTTCATGAAGCCCTCTCTGATGTTCATCTCACTTGTTAGATGTAAATCATCTCTCCTGCCTGTGAACTCCAACAGGACTTTAGTTCTATCAGTCCTTTGGTGTTCATCACACTGTACTTTCTTCACACTAACTAGTGTGCCCAGTTCATTTCTTTTTCCAGATTGTGAACACTGAAGAAGACAGACTCATATTTTACCCTCATAGAGACTAGACTAGTTAAATTACAGATAACAGATTAGTAGGCAAAGTATCATGGCTATCCCCAGGAAGATAGGTGGATTTGTGGAAATGAGTCCAAAAGAGGAACTACAGAGCAGGGATTGAAGTGGGGAAGAAATGTGATTTGAAGATTGTTTGCTAGATAGTTACCAATTATCCCTAAGTTGATTCCTATTAGAAGCTAGATAATTATCAATTACCCCTAAGATGATACCTATTAGAAACTGCTTAGGCAGCTGCGTTTCTAGTTTGGCAGGCAGGTTAGTAATGATTCTAGATGTGAAGGGGTCTTACATTTCTTGTTTTGTGACAAGTTGCTAAATAAGTCCTGCTCGGTTCTCATTTTTCCACTTCTCCTTCACTCTTATATTTCTTAAATACAAAAATAATTTGTAGATGCTCTCAGCTTTGTATGTTTCAACTACTTTTCTATAATATGCACTTTTCTTTACAAAAGTAGGCCTTTTGTTTGATTTCTAAATCTGACCCAGGATAACAGAAATAGGCATAATTGCTATTTTCTCAGACTGACTAAATGTTACTTTTGTTGGCCTAAAAGCCTATTGTTTTGAAATCTGTTATTTAGGTTTTATTAATACAGGATTCCTTTACCTCTATCCATAATAAAAGTAAAAGTAACAATTCACACTAGTGTGGGCACTGATTGTTCACTTTTTCTAGTTTCAAATATCACAGGTGAGTAATTTCTTTAGCTACTATAAAATCATTTTAAAACACACATATCCTTTTTTAAAAAGTTGCCCCAAGAATTTGAAAGATAATTTGGCTTCCTTGAAATTTTTGAACCAGATGTATCCATCAGAGATAGTTTCTAGTTTGGCTGACCTGACACTGACAGGTGTTTGAATAGTTTCATAGGCTTTCCACAGTGCTAAGTGCTTCCCCTCTATTATGTGAAAATCCTGAGCAACCAGTCAGGATTTGAAATAATGGGAAAAAGGAGTAAAATAATCTCAGAATACTTGTCTCAGAAAAGTTGTAATTGAGATGATCTATTCAGAAGGAAGTTCTTCACCACTTATGAGTTAATGTTAGCAGATGTTAAAAAGGAATTATTGGAATCATATTTTTATACTGTGCTATGAGAGATTAACTTTGTTTCCAAACAAGTAAACATATGTTGTTTTGTGCAAATAATGTTGCATTGTAAGAATATTGTCTAACAACCAGCTGAACCTAACTGCTGGAGGAATGTAGAAGTTAAAGTGCTTAACCATTGTCTTCTCCATTTTGGAAAAAATATGAATAAACATGAGAAACCCAGTAGTAAGATGGCCAACCTGGATGGAGCGCTGGGAGAGAGCTCCATTTCCTGATGCAAGGGCTGCAAAGGCATCAATGAGGCCATTGTTCTGAGCCTGATCGGAAGCAGATGTTTGTGAACCTCCTAAAACGCAATGACATGATCTGAAGTGACTTTCCAGTATTTACGTCCTAGAAACTCTGTTGCTAAGATAACAGAATGCACAATATGAGGATTCCCTGTGTTATTAGGGCAAAAACAAATCAACATCAGCTCTATTTCCCAGTAATTTAGAAGTTCATACTTAGTTGTAGTTCTAGTAAATAATTGTGCCAGTCACCTCTCTGTCATCTGGCTACTTTAACTATCTTCAAACTAACCATGAATCTCTCAGAGGCCAGCATTAATAGAATAAAATCTACATTGTAAAGGTTTTGTACTTTCAAAAATGAATTCATTAAGCTTTACTCTAAGCTCACTGTTATTCTTGGCTTTTGAGTTATCTTCTAAATTAGGAAATATATGTGTATGTTGTGTGTGTGAGTGTGTGTGTGTGTATGTGTATGTAACAACAGCAAGAAATAAGAGGACAAAGGGATGGTGATAGAAAAAGAGCGTACATGGTAAAAGAGTGATAATACACAAGCCCTGGTAATGTTGGGCTATTTATAATTAGTATTACTAAGATAGACTTGTAAAGTCACTTTTAAATTATTAACGTACCAAAGAAAGTTAATGAAAGAATTCTGATAGCACTGCTGATACCCAATATCCATCCATTATCCCTTTGTACAGGTGTCTGCAGCTCTCCTTCCTGCTTTAAGTATTGGTTACTAATGGCTTATAGCTGCCTCCTTTAGCAGATAATCCATAGTAAAAATGGACTTCCTTACTTAGAAAAATGACACCGTCTTCACCTGTATGCTGCCCTGACAGTTCATGGCCATTGACTGACCCTTTTGTCTCAAGTTGTGATCAACTTTGTGATGTAGTTCCTGGGCCAGGGTCTTCTTTATGGTCAGCCTTTTAGCTAAATTCTAAAACTGCATCCATGTATGACCATTTCCCCTTCTCTGTCATTCCTTCCCTCCTTTTCTTCCTGAGAGCCTTCTACAAATCACATGTACCCAGATTCCTGGCTCAGACTCTTCTTCTAGGAAATGCAGTATAGAAAAAGTGGTATTGGGCTCAAACAGGCTTATCATTTCAGCTGCCCCCACAAACTGACCAGTATCATAATTTATATCCCCAAGTTAAAAAAGAAGAAAAAACTGTGCTCATCTACTTTGAGAAAGAAGTCAGGGAAGTGTAGGACCTATTTGAGTCATCTATCTGTGCATCTGTATATGAGACTTAGATGCAGATTATCTTAGTGTTTTGTAAAGAAATTGCCTTGTGTACTACATTTCCCAAGTCAGCTCTACTGGCCATTTGGAGGAAGGAGAGTTGATTGGTGTTTACCATGTCTCTTCTCATCCCACTTTCCTCTCGCCCCCTCCCTCCCCACCTTTACTAGAGCTCATAATATCATGGCAAGACAAAGCAGCAGGGCCCCTGCAGATCATCTCTTACCAGTCATTTTGGACAGCTGCTCTAATTCTTTAGCGGCAGAAGGACCCAAAGCAATTGTGTGGATGATGGCTCCGCTTTGTTTCACCTCGTTAAAGCACCCACTTATAGTGTTGTCCTCCCCATCTGTCAGCAGGACAATTTCAGAACCATGGGTTGGATATTTCTTCCTAATCACCTGAAGACAACATTCAGAGCTTGAGGTAGCAGTCTTGGAATGGCTAAGGTGTTTGTGAAAGCTACACTTACATAGGACAAGAGGAGAAATTCCAAAGGGAAATAACAAATGCCTGTGAGTATTCAAGTATCTGTCAGTTTTGCCGCAATGAAGGTTTACAGCAACCTGATGGAATTTCACTTTGGTCTTTTTTTCTCTTATAGTCTCTGAGAAGCTGTGAGGCAGGGTAGTTCTAGAGATGAGTAGTGCTGGGGTGGGGCAAAGATTTTTCTAGTTTTTATTACCTGATATCTCCTTGGCAGACTTCCAGAAATTCCAAGACGCCTTCAGAAAACATCTCTATAATGGAGATTATTTGGAATATATACTACCCAGAAGAAATTTGGGCTGGGAAGGTGGCTCAGTGGTAGAGTGCTTACCTTACATGCCTGAGGCCCTGAGTTCAACTCCTCAGCACCACATAAGCGAAAAGAAAAAAGCCAGAAGTGGCGATTGGCTCAAGTGGTAGAGTGCTAGCCTTGAGCTGAAGAGCTGAGGGACAGCGCCCAGGCCCAGAGTTCAGGCCCCATGACCGGACCCCCCCCCCAAAAAAAACAAAAAGAAATTATAGCTTGTATGATGTTCGCCAGTCTAACAATATGAATTTGTGACTGGCATAAGTTCTGACTGGTCATTAACCAGATCATAATGGCAGTTAAAAATTTAATATCCCTTCTGATGAAAGCAAAAACACTTTGGGTTCTATGAACCTATATGTATTGGGTTCCTGCCTCAATATCTATCTATCTATCTATCTATCTATCTATCTATCTATCTATCTATCTATCTATCTATCTATCTATCTATCTATCTATCTACTATCTGTCTGTCTGTCTGTCTCTCACAAACACACACACACACCAGTGAGAACAAAGACACCCTTGGGTCTTTGTGTACCTTTTCTTTACAGCACTTACTACACACTTATACACACTTATTATACACGTGTGGTATTTGTTATTATGTGATAATGCATCTCCCCAGTAAGACTGTAAGCTCTATGACAGAAGGTGTGGTACGTGTCTGGCTTTTCCAGTAGTCTTTGTGCCTCGCACAGCAAAAATATTTGATTGCAGATGTACATACAAAAAAGCATGAATGTAGTGATACAGAAAACCAGAAAGGCTTGACTGAATGAGTTAACAATAGTTTGGGAGGCTGGGAAGGTGGCTCAGTGGTAGAGTGCTTGCCTTGCATACATGAGGCCCTGGGTTTGATTCCTCAGTACCACATAAGCAGAAAAAGCCAGAAATAGTGCTGTGGCTCAAGTGGTAGAGTACTAGCTTTGAGCTGAAGAGCTGAGGGACAGCGCCCAGGCCCAGAGTTCAGACCCATGACTGACCAAAAAATAAATATATAAAATAAAATTATCATTTTGTAGGGCTTTGTCTTTGTATCATTTGATTTGTCCTGGGTTGTCTAATTCAGTTAGATTCTAGTCACGTGCTGGAAATGGAAATTTTATGGAACAAAAGTCACAAAAAGAACAAAAGTCACACTAAGAACACTGAGAAACTACAATAGGGGAAACATGTCTTACAGTAAATGCTGATCGAAGTCCAGAGCAGATGGATGTCCCTCCTGCGGCCACAGTGGGTAAGCTTCGGGTGAGCGCATCCCTGTCTGTCCCACTGTTTATCTGTCTGAGTTCACTTTGGATGTAGGCAGCTCCGTCAAACATCACCATCCCCACCCAGGACCCCAGCTCCACAGTCTGCAGCAGGAATAGCTTGCCTGCTTGATTCATTCTGTTAAGGCGATTGCCACTCTGCTTGGACAAATCGAAGAAAAGCAGTCAGATTGGGTGTATGTGGACAGACAAAGAACAGAACAGGCGAGACGGTACTTGGGAATGGCTGTCTCTACAGAGTAAATGACAAGCAATTGAGACACATTTTTATGTAGGAACTTTTCCATTCCTATTTATAGCATCTTCGGGTAGAATTCTAGAATCTTTGCATGAAAAACAAAAGGTGGCGCCCCATGATACAATCATGAGAGTACATGGTTATTCTCATGAATAGTTCTAGGTAAGTCCTCTATATGATTGTACAGCAGATTGTTAGTGAAACTTAACTAGCCAGGTGCCAGTGGCTCACAAGTAAAGCCTAGCTGCATACAAGGCCGAGATCTGAGGATCATCATTTGAAGCCAACCTATGTAGGAAAGTCTGTGAGACTCATTTCTAGTTAACCAACAAAAAGGCAGAGAAGTAGACCTGTACTCAAGTGGTAAAGTGTTAGTGTGGGACCCAAGAGATCAAGGACAGTCCTCAGACTCTGGGTTCAAGCTCCAATAGGAAGCTATGTACTTCACGGTATCTCTGCTTATAAGTGGAAAGCAGTTTAATGTGGCAAATGAGATTCTTGATGCTGAATGTATGGAATGAAGGACTGAGCTTCTCTGATGGCACTGCTGTTGTGATGACTTTCACCATCTCATTATATTGAAGCTGTGTCAGTTCTAAGTTGTGATCCAGATCATATCTTACACCTATCTATGATTGGCATCTGGATGGCCATGGGTCAGTGAACATACCGACATGCTTCCAGACTTATCGAGGACTAAACACACAATTCTTTTTCCGATCTGCAGTAATGAGAAGGTGGGCATGGGTGGCTGAGTGCTCATAGGAGTGGTTTTCTTAAAGTCTTCGGAATCACGGATGACTTCCCAAGTGCTTCGAAGGTTGCATCTTTGGTTTTGCAGGTTTGGGGCTTCAGCATTGTGGTTCTTTTCTGTACAGAATTCCACGATCTGAAATTGTCAATCAAACAACATAGATAACAGTAAGCTGCTGAGTCAAATGGCTAATCATTTCAATCACTTCAACTCCCTACTCTTGGTTGCGTACCAATCATGGTGCCTCAGTTTCACAGTTACTACAAAGACTGCTAGGGAAAAAAAAAATCACAGCCAGAATGCTGAATCCTATCTCAAATCATGTCTCTTACTTCCTTGAACTTTAGTGCTCCTCCACAATCCATTTATCTGGTCTATGTGGCTTCTTTCCTAATCCTCAGCTTCACTTGTTTCAAGCCATCATCACTTTCTAAGCCAGTCTTCTCCATCCCTGTATCATAGAACCCCACTACTTTCCTTTCTGACCAACATCCCACCCTCCAACCTTCAACACCCAACATGCTAGCTCTCTCTAAAATCCATTCAGGTATCCCAGATTCTTCCAACTCCACATGTTCATCACCAACCTCATCGTGTTTTTCCAACACTACTCCTCATCCTCCTTGTGTATTTCCTAACTAGGAATCACCACTAATGCACCCAGTCACCTGATATGGGAAATGAGGAGTTTTCCTGTCTTCTTTCTCCTACAAAACAATCAAGATCAATACACTTCACAATATTTCCAGTTCTTCACCTTACCCTCTCTTTGCAACGGACTCTCCATCACTCAAGCCCTCAAAGGCCCGCCCTCAGGCTCCTGTAATCTCCTATCTCACTTAATATCTGCTTCTTCGCTGATTGGTCCACCTTCAACTGTCTGGGGGAATCTTCCTTCTTGCACCTGTAAATAGGACCCTTTTGTGTGGTGCCCAATTGTCTCAGGCTACAAGAGCTACAAGATGGACTTCTCATGGCAAATAGCCATCTCCAAGGTCTGGATTTTTACTTCACATTCAATCCTTACACTAGTTTTGTGCTCCAGTGCTCTATTTTCTCACACTATGGCCTTTTAACTTCCACATTTGCCAGACTTCTATACTTCTCTGCCATTGTTCATGGTACTTCATCAAGAGTTCCTTTTTCATTTTCCATATTGTAAGCTCTGCTTTCCTGTTTCAACCAAAAGGTCACTTTCCCAAATGTTCTCTCATTTTCTATCACTTCCTCAGAGATTTTCCACTTTAACTTCTATGGACTAACAGTACAAGGTAGAAAACTTTCGTAAGGTCCTTTTATTATTGGAATTACCATCTAAGGTCCTCAAACTCTTGCTCAGTGTCTTACACATAGGGAAAGTTCAATGTAAGTTTGTTGGCTTTTTAAAAAGCAACTTTAACATCCTGGTACATCATTTTATTTTATTTTTTTTTGTGCTAATACTGGGGTTTGAACTCCGGGTCTGGGCACTATTCCTTAGCCTTTTCCCTAATGTACCACTTGAGCCATACCTCTGCTTCTGGGTTTTGGGTGGTTAATTGGACTTCCTGCCCAGATTGGCCTCATCCTGAGTAGTTAAGATTACAGGCATGAGCCACTGGCCTCCAGCTGTACCTTACTTTTTTATTTGCAAAGTAGTGACAGTTATTATATTATGCAAGAATTACACCAAAACATATACAATGGTATTGATACTAACGCAACCACAAATTATCTTTTTCTCTTCATTGTTCATATCTTTAGTATTTGGGGGACTAAAGAAAAGAGACACAGTATAAATAGAAGGAACAACCTATTTCCTCCTCTTGGAGTTTTTATGGTTTTATCACTTAACTAAAAACTGAAATATCTAGGAGTTTAGTAATTTAGAAAGCAATTACTACTCATAAAATACTTAATGCTTTCTTTATTTGCATTTTTTAGGTCATCTGCTTTGGTAGTGTTTCCCTTATACTAGTATGGCTACAACTTTTTAACAAGGTAACCTGTGAAATTTCAGTGTTAAATACTAGACAGATGTTTTCAAATCTGGCTGTGCATCCAATTTAACTGTAGCTAATTTAAAATATAGTCAGCTTCTAACTTACAATTTTTCTACTTTGTGGTGGTGGGCAAGAAATACATATTCAGTAGTAACTTTATTCTGATGTTTGATCTTTTCTGGAGTTGCTTACAATACTAGGATAATGGCAGTGAGCCACAGTTCCCAGATCAACACAGGAAAACAACTAGGAAAACAACCAACACTCAGGTGTATTAGATGAATTTCAACTTATGGTATTTTTAACTTCAGATGGGATTGTTGGGATGGACCCCATAGTAAGTCAAAATGAATCTGCACATTATTACAACTACTTCTTGAAGTCTAAATAGGACTGCAACGTCAGATTGAAGGACAGACCTTGTGCACAATGATGCAAAAAATTGTAAAGACTGATGCCACATTGTTATTGATAGACCCTTGCAAATTATTTCACTCTCCTTTCCCAGAGGCAATATATAACTTTATCTATGAAAAAGTTGAATAATGGAAGATGAGAAAGGATTCCCTCTGAAATCAGTTAACTTATATATTTAATCTTAATTTGCATAAATCTGCTGAGCTGTATGTTTAGCATTAACATAGGTTATTAGTTATGTTCAATTATTTATTTATTTATTTTTAATTTAATTTTATTTTATTTGTGAACATACTGTACAGAGGGGTTACAATTGCATGGGCAGGATAATGCGTACATTTCTTACCAAGCATTGCAGCCTCCT